CTCTGGTGTACCTCAAAGAGCTGCCTGTAATTTCTCTGTGTTTCTGCACAGCAGCCTCAATTCTGCCTTTAGGGAGTCATACAGGAAAGTGCATGAAAAAATTCAAGTATGCCTGCACGATAGCGGGGTTTTACACAGAGCTTCTACACCATTCTTCTCTATACTGGCAGCATTTGGAAAATACTTCTTCTAGGTTGGCACATGCTCTTTAAGCACTCTGTTCTGTAATTGTTGGCACAGTTTGTGGGATGGTTATATTGATGCAAAACTAGTAATTTAGGCTATCACAGAAATGGTGGTAAACAACGGCCTTAGTAAATTTGTCCCTAAATTTTGAAGTTATGAAAGCCTCAGTGTGGTGAGCTGAATGCCACATGAGTACAATGACAGCTACAGTTTACAATGGCACTTGAAAAGTGAATAATTGCCTACTTTATCTGAGTGTGTTAATAGTTTTTGCTTTTAAAATTGTCCTCAGAATCATACTTCCATCCAAATGTAGCACGAGTGGGTAGAATCTTCTCAGTTCAGGTGTTAAACTTCTTTCAGACTACAAAACTGCCTCTGCAAAATTAGCAGGGCAGGCTGGTTGTTAAGAGACTGCTACTCACTACTAAGCTAAATGGTTGCTTGAAGGGAATGTGTTTCCCACTAGAGGGAAATGTAGGACAGGAGTCAGAAGTTGCTAAAAGGAGGAGGGAAGGTTCTGACTTATCTTGATCACATACACATATCGGAAAGTGGTAACTGTCAGCAGTGCAGCTTGCCAAGATATTTAAAAGCTTCTGCAGATAGGGATCTTAAGCTTTGGAACAACTGTTTTCAGCATCTGGCTTCTCCACACAGCTACAGTCCCTAGAAGGCAGAGAAAGCTTTAAGTTGGCTTTAACATTTTCTGATAGTAAGGCTGCCAGGCAAGTAATGAGAGACAGTTCAAAGAATTTGGAATTACTATAGCTGTATTGATAGCAAGGAAACACAGCAGAAAGAATCATGAGGAGAGATTAGTCTTTCTGAGTGGAGGACATAAGGCTCATGACTTTCCAGAAATTTGTTGAGGGCTCCCATGTGTTTGCAGCTGCCTCCTTCTGTCACTAGGAGCCAATGTAGGAAATCAGTGCAGGAAGAGTCAGGTTCCATATTATTATTCTTCTCCATACACCAACACATAGAAAAGTAGGAGAATTGATGATGCTTGGTTTTGCAGAAGGAACTGGAAGTCTTTGGTCCTTGTTGTCAGTAGAAATCTAGGGCACAGGAATTCACCAGCCTCGGAAAGAGAATGGAATCGGCTTACCACCTTTCTTCCTCTTTCTACCCACCTGTGACCTGGAAGCAAGACACAATCTACTAAAGCTGTCTGTTACAGTGATATGCAAACTTTTAATTCCACAGATTTTGACACTTCATCCCTATCTTCGATGTTTTGAATGGGAAAAGCATCCCAAGCTGATGATATTTGACTAGAGGAATATTTGTCTCCTTTGCTGAAGTCATGAGAGCTGTGAGCACACAAGCAGGAGTCCCTTTCAGTACCTCTTTCAGTAGGGATCTTGCTGGATGTCCTCAAGTTGAAGGAAAAATCTTTTTTACAATGCAGAGAACAAGAAATTCTTGCTTCCTGTAATCTTGATAGAGCCAAGGGAGATAAAGTTAAGCCTATACGTGTGGTTTTATATATATTTATATGTATGTCTCCATATGTGTATATAATAGTAAATGGTTTTCCTGGCACATATGAAGTGTTTGCTTTAATACCCAAAATAAAAATTAAGCATCAAGTTAATCAGACGTACTTGTGAAGTGCAAATTTGAGGTAATGAAACAGGGTCACTTCAGTAAAATGTCTATCACAGTAAAAGAAATGACCAACTGATCTATTCTAAGTAGAATTAATTGGCTATATCCCTTCTGCAGAAGGGACAGTGAGTAATGAACAGGACTCTAACGTGGCAAATTAATGTTGGCAGTGTACAGACACCTTCATGTGGCTGAGATCCAGGGAAGCCTTGGGGAGCAGGGGAAATGATAACAGCCTTGGGGATTTTCCTTCCATTTACTGAGATAGGCTGACATCAGTTGTGACTCAGCATTCTCCACATTCTTTCTGGGTTGTTTTCTTCTTCATTTGGAGACTTAGTTATCCACAGGCTCTAATGCCAAGTTCACTACTCTTGTGACTTTGTAATGTAGCCCCTGTAACAGCTTTTTGCTAACTCCATGTAGGCAAAGAGTCATTCACTTAATCTTGAAAGAGCAGGGAGATAACAATAGACTGAAATGTATATGGTCAAATTCTTGATTTAAGTAAACTTGGATGGGGGGAGATAAGTGAGTATCTCATTCTTTCCAATGCAAGTTTAAAGCACAGTAGTTCTATGCTGGTTTCCAGAGTGGGACCCAGGAAGGACCTCAGGACAAGTTGCATGCTTTCACCCTTTGCAAGTGTCTGTTCATCTATTTATCAGGACAACAGAAAATCTCTCAAGGACACTGGAATTAGTAAAACATGTAAAGCCTTCAAGGTGGAAATGGAAACAGCTGTTCTGCATTCTCAGAATGCTACTAGAAAATAAACATGCAACTTCATGACATAGAGTAGGCAAAAATAAGGTGCCCTCAGGGCTTTTCCAGCATGTGTGAAAGTCTCTGGGGAAGAATTCCACCACAGCTTGTTGGGGATGTTTTGGTCTCTGCAGGCTGTCAATGCTGCTTCACTGTAGCTGGCTGCTGTACAGAGTGAAGAGACCTGCACAAACCGTCATACTGCTGTTGTGACCACACAGGCAGTACAACAATGTGAATTGTTCTTAGTGAGCTCTGCTTTGCAATCAGAGCAGTTCTGGAAAGCAAGGCTAGACTTCACTTTCATGAGTCTGTGCAAGTTACCTGAGATTGTTCAGTCACCAATGTTATTAGGTCATATTCTGTAAAGAGGCAAGACTAAAACTGGGGCTTACAATTGCTAAAGATTGAAAAAGTGAAGAAAATATCTGATAAGCTATTGTTCAAATAAATAACTGCTTGAATTCAAAATGCATGTGCGCTGTGAGGCACATAACTGTGTGATGGTCATGATGTAATAATGAACTAAATCTGCAAAAGGTAAGGACTGTTTCTGTCAGCTAGTATTAGATGTCAAAGAATAAATGATTGAGAGTTGGTAATAAGATATCATATGCACACCTTAAAATTGCTTTATTAATATATTAAGTAGTCTCTAAGTTTTAGCTAAGGATTTATATATACATAATACTGAAGAACTTGCAAAATTTTATGTTGCAAAATTTAGGCCAAATGACAATGCTAGTTCATGCTTGCGTTTTTTAGTAAGCTGGGAGTTTGCAAAGTGCTTAGTGTTTTCTAGATATCTAAGTGTCAGCTCTGAAATTCTGTGCATCCTTCATGTTGTGGAAATGAGTTGGAAATCATGCGAGCTGTCAGCCTAGATTTAAGTTATTGATCTCTTTAAGTTTTTATGTGTTGCAAAGCAGAGTCTGTTCTGCTTAACACTCTTCTTTTGCTTGTTATTTTTAGAGTGGAGTGGCTCATTTCTATTGCAGAGTTAGCTATTTTTATTTGAAGTGGGCTTCATAACTTAGGTTACCATAACTTATGATTACTGTACAATTGCATGACCAGGACAGCATCCATCACACACTGAAATGATAATCTCACATCCCATATAATTAACTGGTGTGTGTATGTAGTGCATAACTTTTGGGCTGCCTGTGCGTCATTTCATATGACCAGTTATACTGAGGTCCTCCTTATTCCATCCTTTCCTGTTCCCTAATGGGCCTGCTGTAGTCGTGGCGTGTTCTTGTCAGGTATCTGCATCTATGTATCTTGCCTTCAAGACTTTAGAAACGAAGATGCAGAACAATGTTTAGAGTTCTATGGATTTTGACAAGCAGAGCTGAAAGGAATTTAAAGGTAGTAAATTTATGCTATTTGCTATGTGCAGTAAAAATAATGGGCTAAAATATTACTCATTGCTCTTCAAACTCTAGCGATCCAGAAGGTTGATCTGTTTTCTTAGGCCATAATAGAAGCCTTTAGTTAACATCCAACTTTACTAATTTCTGTGGACTTTGGCAGACTGCTTTGAACTGAAGCTCTGGGAAAAGCCCTTAATAAATAGTAAAAGCGTCTCTGTTTATTATATGGGAATTGTTTAGTTATCCTTAAGGTAATAAATTGCTATCTAATAGCCCTTAATCAAAGGAGTTCAAATGTGTTGTATATTAAAGGGTACCATTTATATCTAAGAAGGTAAAGCCTTCTACCTTTTAAGGATGTTATCTGTAAAAATTCTCTGTACAGTGTGTCAGAGTACCTCTGACTTGGTTCAGAGCTGTTTGAAAGGCTTTGTCCATATAAGCCTTTCACTTTCATCTACTAAATGCTGAACTTTGGGCAGAACTTGGTGCAATTGCAGTGTATATAGGTCTGTATGCATTTTTTTCCTTTCTAGGAAATACATGTTTCCACTTGATAGCAACCCTGTGATAACCAAATATCATGCATCCAGTGAAATGCATATGAAGAAAATAACAGTGTCTGTAATTTTGACTGTATAAAGACAACCTGAAAAACTAAAAGCCCAAATAAAAGATTGCTGGGGCAATCATGTTGATGCATTTAAGTTAACTTGTAATAAATCTGTTAGATGGGTGATAATGGACATCTAGGTGTGTGATAGGTACTGAGATGTAACTTAAGGAATTATATATCTTCATATTCAAAATGCATTAGTGTTGTTTACTTACCTATGTGATGACAATCCCTGTCAACATCAAATGTAAATAATATAACAGGAGAAATAAAGAGTATTCTCAAGTTGTGTTTGACATATTGCAGAATAGCTTGTATATTTGCTAATGAAAGCACTGAAAACAAGGGTTTGGGTTCCCAGTGCTGATGTTATGCATGCAGCTGGTGTGAGGTCTAATTTTCAGCTGAGACTGTAAATTTGTTGCTGTTTCCATAAATTGCAGAAAAATATGCCGCAACTGCAAATGTGGCCTGGAAGAGCATGATATCCCCACAAGCAACGAGGAAGATCGGAAAGTGGGGAAACTCTTTGAAGATACAAAATACACAACCCTTATTGCAAAGCTGAAGAATGATGGCATTCCCATGTATAAACGCAACGTAATGATACTGACTAATCCAGTGCCAGCCAAGAAGAACATATGCATCAATACTGTCACATATGAGTGGGCTCCTCCTGTTCAGAATCAGACACTTGTAAGTTTGTATCACTATTTTTTCATGTTCAAGGTGAAAATTGATGAGAGGTAAAGTAGAGCTTACCAGAAGGATAAATTTGCCTCATATAGTCTTCTTTTTTTCCTTCTCAAAATTGAAAATATGGTGCCCGTTTAATAAGTCTTGCTTATGTCATCTTGCAGATACACGTTTGTCTATGGAACTTCTTTAGAACTGCAGAGATGAGGTGGTTTTAATAGATTAAATGTTATATGCAAAGTCCCTGCAGTTCAGCTTCTCTAACCTGCCTTTTTTTAGTGAACTTAAAGACATTTTCATGGAGTACGGCCTTAAAAGCAAACCCACCCCCCCAAAAAAAAAACAACAAACAAACAAAAAAACACCAAATATCAACAACAAAGGAAAAAAAAGACAACAAAAAAACAACCAATCCCACAACAATTTATGTAATTGTTTTTAAGTTAAGGGGAGCAGTCCGTCTTGCATATAGCTTTTACTGTATATGGTAAGAATAAGGTCAGTGTTGACATCTGAAAGAAAACTCTCTTCAAGTTTGTTTTCAGCTGAAGTAGATCAGATGTTAGCCTTCTGAGGACTTTGCTTCCCTTTTCAAACGCTGATTGCTAATTTACTGTACTGCAGCGTTGTGTGATCCATGCCATAATCATGCTGTCTCTGACTTCCCTCTCAAAATATGCTTTTTCAGTGACTTAATCAAACCTTGTGCATCTAAATCAAATGTTACTTAACATTCAGTTACCACTGGTATTCAGGCTTGTCCTTGCTTTATTAAAACTAGAGCTCTTTTTTCTTTATGCAGCTCCTTTTGTTTTTCAATGGGCTGTGTGCCTCAGGGAGACTATTTCAGCTTCTACTTTTTAAAGCTATATTGATGATCAGTAGCTTTAACTTCGAAAAGACAACATGCTGGGTAAATGTAAATTATTGCTTACTCTCAGAAGCAATGACTATGTTCTGAATGCTGTAAAAGGCTTAAAAGGAAGCCTGTCTCTTACTCTGGGAAGAAGCTGATAAATGTATCTGTTGTATTTTATCTCCATTTACTGCATTTCAGGAGCTTACTGTTTATGGAAAGAACCTTGGTTTTGACAAATTTGACTGTCGCTAACAACAATAGAGATTGTTTTAGTCGCATGTTTGCTTAAAGGGATGGGTCTGTGATCGAAGTGGCATCTGATGTCTAATTCCTTCTGGTTCAGGCTAGACAGTATATGCAGATGCTACCAAAGGAGAAGCAGCCTGTTGCTGGCTCGGAAGGCGCACAGTACAGGAAGAAGCAGTTGGCTAAGCAGCTGCCTGCTCATGATCAGGATCCTTCAAAATGCCACGAGCTCTCCCCCAGCGAAGTTAAGCAGATGGAACAATTTGTCAAGAAGTACAAAAAAGAGGCACTTGGTGTAGGAGATGTCAAGCTCCCTGGTGAGCTGGAAACAAGAGCTGCTGACAAGAATAACGTGAGCAATGGTGACAGAGGCACCTCAGCTGCTGTAGGAGTGATGGAGAAAAAGTCCCCAGATCAGAAGGCATCTCAGTATGTAAGTATAAGAAAGGAAGGATAAAACAAAAAGGTATAATACCATCTGAGTGCTCTGTGTTGTTTAACTCAGTTAAATTTTTTTGTTATCTTGCAATAGCTAAACTCTGGGGAGGGAAAGAAAGAAGGGGAACTGCAGAATATTGTGGAAGCCTGCATAGAACCCTGGTTTCTGACAGCATTTAGTGCATTGCAGGAAATAACTTCCTAGATGACCTTTTAGTCCTCATTGCTTGGAGATACAGTATAGCAGGGTGGCTTTCACAGAATAACAGTAAAGAAACTTCTATAGTCTTATGGACTAACTGCTGCACTGTAATCCTCTTGAAGAGCTGAGTTTAATTTTAGAAGCCTATTTTCTTCTCTTTATTGGAAGAGCACCAAAATTGCCCACTTGAAAAACAGTGTTTACTATTTCTTGGTTTCATTTAATTTTAAAATAATACCTTTCCTTCCCATGTCCAACCAGCCAGACCATGTAGGGGCTGTTTTTATTAGCCTTGTTTTTATATTCAGATCTGTTTTTTTCTTTGATTAGTTTATGGGTTTTTTCTCTGTTATCTGATTTCTGCCTTATAATAGCTCAACAAAAAAGAAGGTATGTAAAATTACTCAGTTTTCATTGAGATTTCTAAAAATATAGCTTAAATAACGTAATTCTGATGTAACTTGCCAGCTTCTGTTGTGCATGCCTCTGCTACCAATTTATGAATGCAAAATAGGGGTAGGAGTACTGAAGTAATTAGATTAATGAAGGAAGCAAAAGCTCCTGTAACTTCATTTCTAGAGGTGTTGGTATTATATGTATGAATCCCAAAAATTATTTGTCTCCAGGTTACTTACAGAAAATTAATATACAAGTTCTAGATGGAGATAAGTTTGTTAACATGGTTTTAGAATATGGCTTTCAGTGTTATTGAGGGATGTGGTGTGCTTTTTTGTATGCTTTTGTTGTTTGATTTTTAAACTGACATGATATATTACTTTTGGTGTCATTCATACAGAATATAAAATTAAAACTAAAGTTTTAGCTTTGAACATGCCCACTTACCTTAGTCATATGTTGTGCCATTTGGTTACCTGTAGCTGCTTTCTAAAATTACTATTCAGGTGTTTTAGCCATTATCTTGTTGAGATTCTAAGATACTAAGAAGTTCTTTTATCATGGCTTGATTAGGTTGCTGTCATTTTGTCTTAACTCATCCTCTCCTGTGTTACTTCAGTTTCACCACAGCAATTCCTCACATACCTCTTTGAGAAAGACCTACAGAAATACACACCTTGCATTGTATCCTGCTGGCCAACTGGCTTGGGCTACATCAAGTCAAGGGCAGGAGGCACTCTGTCCTCTTGAGTAATTTTGTCAAAAAAAGCTTTGTTTTTATGTTTCACCTATTAATCGCTTCCAAAGTTTTCTTACATGAGCACCTGAGTATACATCCTACTATTTAGGCTGGAGAGGTGGGCGGGGAGAAACATGATGAAATTCAACAAGGGGAAGTGTAGAGTTTTGCATTTGGGGAAGAACAACACCATGTCCCAGTACAGGTTGGGGGCTGACCTGCTGGAGAGTAGTGTAGGTGAAAGAGACCTGGGGGTCCTGGTAGACAGAAGGATGACCATGAGCCAGCAATGTGCCCTTGTGGCCAAGAAGGCCAATGGCATCCTGGGGTGCATTAGAAAGGGTGTGGTTAGTCAGTCAAGAGAGGTTCTCCTCCCCCTCTATTCTGCATTGGTGAGGCCGCATCTGGAGTATTGTGTCCAGTTCTGGGCCCCTCAGTTCAAGAAGGACAGGGAACTGCTCGAAAGAGTCCAGCGCAGAGCTACAAAGATGATGAAGGGAGTGGAACATCTCCCTTATGAGGAAAGGCTGAGGGAGCTGGGTCTCTTTAGCTTGGAGAAAAGGAGACTGAGGGGTGACCTCATCAATGTTTACAAATATGTAAGGGGTGAGTGTCAGGGGGACGGAGGTAGGCTTTTCTCAGTGATGACCAGTGATAGGACAAGGGGTAATGGGTGTAAATTGGGGCATAGGAGGATCAAGGTGAATATCCGAAAAAATTTTTTTACTGTGAGAGTGACAGAGCACTGGAACAGGCTGCCCAGAGAGGTTGTGGAGTCTCCTTCACTGGAGACATTCAAAACCCACCTGGATGCGTTCCTGTGTGATGTAATCTAGGTGACCCTGCTCTGGCAGGGGGGGTGGACTAGATGATCTTTCAAGGTCCCTTCCAACCCCTAAGATTCTATGATTCTATGATTTAGGCCAGGTGTATCTCATCGCTGTGCACAGTGATTTAGAAAGAGACTTAGAAGTGTTTGATAGTACAAGTAAACAATTGAGCTGTTTATCTATTGTGTTAGGTACTGAGTTTACCCTGGGCTAAATAATCAGGATTTAGTTACTGATTTATTTTTTTTTGTCTGATCTCTGCAGTATGACTGTCTCATCTATATGCTGTAGCATTATCTCAACTTCTTTTTTTTTTCTTAACAATTCAAAATAAACTAATACAGAGAAGAGCTCTTAAACACCTTGCAGATAACAACTGCCATCCTTGCCTACATTTTTTTCTATCCATTAGTTCTGCATCTTTGTTCTCCAAATTTTCTTGTACATTGTCTTTCAGAGTGAGTCTGAAAGCATGTATTCCTGTAACTGTGCTAAATAGAATCTCTTTAAAAATTTTTATTATAGGAGTAGATTGCAAGTCTTCTAAATCTGATCTCAAAAAATAATATAAAACCAGTTCTCCACTATTAATGTAAATATACCTATAGTAATTACCTCTGTGGTTTTTTTTAAAAATCACCATTAAAACCTGAAATACAGAAAAATTTATATTCTGCATATTTTCATCTTAAAAAGGAGCAAATCTCTTTATGCACCTTTTAACCACTTAGTGTGGGGATGTTGCAAATGGTAGGTAAACAAATTGTCCTGCATTGGGTCTATACACGGTCCATACAACTACTAAACCTTGCAACTGACTCCTCTTGGAGTATGAGATCTAAAGTAGAAAGAAGAGTCAAAATCTTCATATACCTATATATTTATAGTACCTCTTTCATTCTGTTCCAAGCTCTTCTTCCTTCCTTTTTTGCTGTCTTTCTATGTATATTTTGAAAGTGATTCTCTGAAGCAAGTATGGGATTTGATCAATATGACTTACAGCTGAGACACTTGACAAAAAATAAAATTATATTTATACACACACAAAATATTAAAAACTGAGGCTATTTGTGGCTAGGCTTCCAGTGATGTGAATCATGGAGAAAACCTTCCCAGGATGTTCAACCCAGTCACAGACCAACTGGAGTGCAGGAAATGCCAAACTGGTGATTAGACTGTAGATTAAAATTTTTCTTCCAGTAACATAAACCACCTGTGTTTTTTGACTTGATGACAAAACTTTTTCTGTAAGCACATATAGGGCAGTAGACTGACTATGAACTTTTTGGAACTATTTGTAATATAACTGTGTTCACAAAATTTGTGGTCCTTTTTCCACAATCATTCTCCCCGTCGTAAGATCATTAATTACAGACTATTGGACAAGAGCCATGAGTGACTAGCATCCCTAGAACACAGCTTGAAACAGAATGATTATGAAAATTTCACAAGTTTTTTTCTAACCAGAAATGCAGATGCAGCTTGATCTTCCCACGACCTAGTCGTAGTTCAGTCAGTTAACTTTGACGGACACTCCTTATTCTCTCCGTATTCTTGAGTATATAAGACTCACAGAACATAATATGAATTTTAATTGCCTGTTCTTTTTTTTTTTTAATTGTAGTTGCAAGAATGTGAATATGGCAAGATACAATTATCCATTCAAGTAGCAGTAGCACTATGTCAGTAGAATATACATCATCTTGAATTGCTTAATTTACCTAGGCTGTGGCACCATGTTGCACCACTGTGAGCATGGGAGTAAACTAAAGCTTTCATTTCAGTCTGGGAAGGTGGGATTTATTACATATGGCAATAATATGTAATTGCTATAAATGTACCTCTTCAAAGACTTATTTAGCTTGGTAATGTCTTTCCAGTCATGCTATCGCTGCAAACTGAATATGGAAGAAGGTGACCCAGCTGTCTACGCAGAACATGCTGGATATGACAAATTGTGGCACCCAGCTTGTTTTGTCTGTTGCATCTGCAGTGAACTTCTAGTAGACATGATCTATTTCTGGAAGAATGGTAACCTGTACTGTGGAAGACATTATTGTGATAGTGAAAAGCCCCGCTGTGCTGGATGCGATGAGGTAGGAAGTACCCTAGTCCTTTACACACACAAGTTTGCTCCCCTGAGAAGTATGGTTTTTAGTAAAATATTTCAGTGCAGGGACGTGATGTGCCTTCACCTATTTTAGCTGATTGTGGTTGCAGTGACCTGAAACGGGTATGGACACTCCACATTCAGAAAGATCAATAGTTTGCTTTAGATCGGTGGGGAATTTTGGGTGACCTACAGGGACATAGGATTTAGTCCAAGTGCAAATTCTTCTTACAAGTCCCGATTACGCACTTGTTTCCTTATGAAGGGCAGTAGGGGGAGCGCCTTACCAAAGCACACCTCGTGTGTGTTCTGTGTACAGAACAGCCCGCTGGGGTGTCTTAGGCATCTTTTGGCTCTTAGTAGGGAAACGGAGGGGGTTGGAAAACAGTCAAGCAAGTAAATTTATTATTTTGCTGTTCTTGAAATCCTTTGAAACAGTGGGACCACCAAGAGTTCCTTGGGAATTACAAAACACCCCAAGGCTAGCTCTATTAAAAGAAATACTACTCAGCTGCATATATTAATATTTGTTTGTGTCTTCCTCATAGCTAATATTCAGCAATGAGTATACTCAAGCAGAAGGTCAAAACTGGCATCTGAAACACTTCTGCTGTTTTGACTGTGATCGCATTTTGGCTGGGGAAATATATGTCATGATGAATGACAATCCAGTCTGCAAACCCTGCTATATGAAGAACCACGCTACGGTAAGATCCTTACAGATGTGTAGGTGCTGTGAAGGAAGGGAATGTACATCTGTGGAGCTTGAAACACTTTGTTTCTCCCAGTGTGGGAGTATCTGAAAAGTATAGATTGAATGCAAGTTTAGGCTCAAGTAAATAATAATTTTACCCTTTTGAAAAAAAAAAACAAACAAAAACCACACAACAAACCTAACTTCACTTAAAAGCAGACAAGTGTTTTGTCAATTCATAGACTTGAAAAAAAGCCACTGGTGAGGTCAAAGACTGTTCTGAAAATACCTTTAACTTGGCCAGTGGTGAAGCAGGATTTTGTAATAACACTAGTAAAGCAGGTGAATATGAGTAATGCTGCTCATAGTTTGTGTCAGTCATATTTCATTGTGAGTGGTGGGATTCAGCTTCAGTTGTTTACTTAAAGCCTGTACTGGCAACTGCAATCTGAATACTTTGTCTCTTTGTATTTCTAACCACATGTTGTAACAGAGAGTGACATGACATAAAGCTAAAAGTTAAGGTAAGAATGGTAGCTTTCAACTCCTAGTTATTCTAGGAATTCTAGAATCATCTGAGATTGTGGTCCATTCATATCTATCAATAGTTGGGAATTCTGTTGAATGTGCATCTGTGTTAACTATTCTCTTCAGCTGGCAGTTAATAAGGTAAGTGTGAAAAAAAATGTTTGGGAAAGGCGTTTTTTTTCCCCTTAAAACATTAACTTCTTTGAGATCTAAATGATATTTTTGACAACCAGATTTTTAGAGTAATTACATCCAAGATTTTCTAGTAACCTTTAATTCGTTGGCGTAGCTTTAGAGCAGCCAATGCATAGGAAAATTTGTAACTAACCTCTTCAAATATATGGGCTAGTATATGAGGATCTATGCTGTTTGGAATGACAAGTTTTAATCATTTGGACATTGGGAAATCACAACCTTCATAACTGTCTAAGTTTAATCCCAGCAGCAACTAACTTCATCTGGGCATTTTATTATTTTGTTTTGTGTTGTCAACAGCATTTTGTTTAGAAACTCTGCTTTCAAAATAAAGGAAAATTCAAAACTGCAGACTTACTTCAAAGGCTTATTTTAACACCTGTCTCACTTCTCCAAAAACATTTAAGAATTCCAGTTTTTATTGTACTTGTAGAAAGGGTGTCTGTGTTTCAGTTAAGTGTCATTTTGTTTCTAAACAGATCTGCCAAGGCTGCCATAATGCTATAGATCCAGAAGTTCAGCGTGTGTCATACAACAACTTCAACTGGCATGCTACACAGGAATGCTTCTTGTGTTCCTGTTGCAGCAAGTGTCTAATTGGCCAGAAGTTCATGCCAGTGGAAGGGATGGTATTTTGCTCAGTGGAATGTAAGAAAAAGATGATGTCTTAAGAGAAGATGTGCACAGAACCAAGCATTGCTGCGTTCCAAAGGCTCTTGCATTCCTACTGTAAAATATATCTTATCGGGGCATTTAAAGTTGTTGGAAGTATTAAGTAGTATTTTTCCAAAGATTTTTTTTTTTTTAATTACTACAACTTGCTTTGTAATCTTCATTTCTTAGCTGTAGTAATAATATTTCTTTTCAGATACTGTTCCTGCATCTTGCGTCAAATGACTTTGTATCCCAGAAATGTAAGAAAAAATGTATTATGAACCATATACACATTAAGGGAGCTCTTCACAATGAAGGATCTTTTTTGCTGTATCTTGTCTAATGGAAGAAGAAAATGTGAAAATGCTCAAATTTTTGTTTTTTTTAATTATAAATGTAACTCTCCCACTTTTGTTTTCACTAATTTATCATTTTTATAGTTTCCCTGCTTTCATCAAGCACTTTATACAACATGATCAGCTTTACCTCTGCATACCATTTTGTTCACTAAATGTCAAGTATGCAGGGAGAATGAAGCTTAAAAACATACAATGTCTGTTAATCATTTGCTTCTTGCTGACAGATGGGTTCTTGAGGATAGTGACTACTCTCACATCTAGTTTGCTAAGTACCTCTGCAAATGTGGCTCATTTTTCTCTTTCTAATCACTGTTCATGGCTGGAAAAGTTTTCATTTTATGAATGCTGAAGTTACTTTACAGATTTTTTTAATTATTTTTTTTTTCCAGGGTGTGGAGTGGGAAAGGAGAAAATGTAAGAGGAGGTCTTGCACAGATTTAATGGGTGTTTTGTCCTTTCAGAACTAGCTTCTTTTTTATCATGAATGTTCTTTCCATAAATTGTGCCTTCTATTGGAGGGATGTGGCACACAATACCATATGCATTTCCAAGAATGCAATTCTGCAGAAGGATTGTACTTAGGCTTTTAAGTTTTTAGCCAAAGGACAAAGAAGACTTCCCAAAGACTTCCAATATTTGAGTGGAAAAAAAATCACAGTTGTGTATTAGATTTGCTTACTAGATAAACCAAATGTGTAGTTCTCTTTCTTAAGAATTACAGATCTACAGTGACACTTGCTAGCTATATTTGTGCTAAATGTAAACATCAGAAAAAACTTATTTACTGTGAGAGTGACAGAGCACTGGAACAGGCTGCCCAGAGAGCTTGTGGAGTCTCCTTCACTGGAGACATTCAAAACCCGCCTGGACAAGTTCCTGTGTGATGTACTCTAGGTGACCCTGCTCTGGCAGGGGGGTTGGACTAGATGATCTTTCAAGGTCCCTTCCAACCCCTAAGATTCTGTGATTCTGTAAACAGAGAATGAAGAGTCTTTGGCCTAAAAAAGCAACAAATAAAATATTTTTTTTTAAATCTATGCAAGTCTCATGTTCAGCTCTTTTTTAAGTGTTATGATGACTGTATTGTAACAAATAAGAATTTGTGTTGTTCACTTGAGTTGTTTATTAATTCTTTTCCTGTTGAATCCCCTTTAGGAGAGACAAAGAGAAGGGGAAATGTTTCTATACTTCTCTTTAGCTTTGACATTCTTTCCAAAACAACCTAGGGCCTGTGTTACTGCAAAGTGCTTACTGTTGGTGTACAAACAGGTACAAAACAATACGTCTTGTGGCAACAAATACACAACTTCTGAACTTTGAATTTACTTTTTGTTCATATAAATTATGGCTTGAATTATATTTTAACACATAGCACGAGAAGTTTTTACTTCACACAGATGAGCTGATGTCTTGAGAAAATAAAATGCACTCTGATTATTTGAGTACTGCAACAATGTGACATTCCTGTGAGATACATACTTTGTGTGTTGTCTAAATTGAGATGTAAACTTTAGGTCCACGTTTTGGAAGCCTGTACAGCTTTTCTCAGGATGTACAAAAAAGTGTATGTCTTTCAGCTTATGCCAATGGAGCTGTATTCTTGCAAGATTTGCAGTTTTAAAGCAAGAAAAACCAGGATGCCTCAGTAAGAGAAGGTATTTCCATTTTTCTGTCTAAGTGCTCATTTGTCTGTGAGAATGCCATTCAGGGGATGGGTTCTTATTTAATTATTATCTATGAGGATGGCTTAATATTGCCTGGGTTTTACTTGGCTTGAGTACATCTGTTCTTACCCACTCGCTAGCATCTATTTGAGAAGACACAGCTGATCTTTATAAAGAACTCTTTGTGAAAAGCTGTTGTGCAACTTTCCTTGCCCCTCCCTCATCACCCTGGGTAATAGCTCGGTTTTTCCTTAATGTGATTGCTTGTGCTGATGGCAGCCTTACTTTCACTGTGAATCTTGTTCAGTTCAGTTTTCTTTATTAAACGTTATTGTATAACCTTCATTTAAAAGGATGAGCAGGCACTACTTCAGGACTTACTCATTCCATCAAGACAATTGCCAAGGAAATCCATGTCAAACCAAACAGCTCAACAATCCATGATCTTCTGGGATTCCTTTTTTTCTGTGCCTTTTCTGAAGCTTACTGCCTTTAGCTAGCTCTCTTCAGAAGCTTAATCTTCCCTTGTCTGCTTGATCCCTTCTGGCTCTCTTCTCTGGAACCTGATGCACGTAGGTGTTTCTTTGGGGTAGCCAAAGTTTAATCTATGTCTCCAGTAATTGGAAAGGATCATGTCGTCAAGTATAATGTGTAGATAATAAAAGAGGGGAGACAAAGGTACTGCTGAGTGACTACATAACAGATCAGGAGATTATTAGGAGTGCTAAACAGCTCTTGTAATGAGCAAAGAAGTTGATGTTCCTGAAGATAATGGTTTTGGTGTTAGCTGAAAGATATGTCAACATACTGGGGCTTGAAAAGAAGCATTAAGGAAATTTCATTCTGACAGTTATAATCAAAATGTTGGCAGTTGAGTTTTTTTTTCTCTTGTATTTTTGGCTGTTTTATTGTGGAGGTCCCTTTGAATCTATTTATCTTAGTAGGTTAAGAATAGAAGCTGGAAGGTTTTGCATGCTTTAGTAATAAAAAAACATACTTTGTAGATGAAATTTTGAACTCAAAGTACGAAAGTTGAAGTACGCTTGAGAGAAGAACTTTGTGGGTAAGAAACTTTATAAGCACTCATTATGGGAAAATCCTCTTCAGAAATAGTTAATTGGCTGCAAGAAACAGCCTGAAGAGGCACTTAGCCAGCTCTATTTATCATGCCGCTGCTGAGTGACATATTTGATATTAACTCTTCACATGTTGAGCACCAAATGAAGACAAGGATTTACAGCAGAAGACATGTTTGACCTCACTGTTGGCATTTGTAAGAAGGGAATGCCAAATTTACCTTCCAGTTATAACATTCTGCCAGTATTAGCTTTACATTCTGTACTGTTTGCTATGGTGGCTGAGGTGACAATATATACTGTTATGACTCAAAGTCTGAGCTTTTAGAGTAGGGTTGTGGTTTTAGCAACTGGCTGTGAAGTGCAAGTAGTCTTACACAGTTGAAAAATTTAACAATGGGGATAAAATGAAAGTGTGGTGCAGCGTAAGCCATGGCAGCAGAGAACACCAAGCAGACCACCCTGTCACTGACATATCTGGGAACTTGATTTTACTTTTCCATATATCAGTAGTAGTCAGCCTTTTCAAAGAACCCCTAAAATTTCCAGGTCCACTTGTGCTTCTAACACTGTGAAATTTTGAAATTTGCCTAGTCCCCAAAATGTACAGACAAGGTGAGAATATTGGTAAATCCTGCTCCACTTAACCTATCAATAACCTTGGCTGGTATTACTTGTTGGTTGACCACAGAGCTCCGGACACGCAAGAAGCCCATGCTGGAAGTGTGACAACATAGCCTTCTCCATGCCCTGAGAGGAAAGACAGTCTATAACACCCTAAGCGTGCCTAACTCCTGATGCTTTTCAGGACATACAGATGTTTATGCACATGACAGATTTTTAGCACAATTATGTTTTTTTAACCGTATAGTAAAACTGAATTGTATGTGTCATTTCCAATAGCAGTCTATTCATTGGAGTCTTTACAGTCTTGATGAAGAAAATGTGGTGATGTTGTAGTTCTGATGGTTTGAAGACCAAAGTTTTTCTTTATTTACTGCTACAAAAACACACTTAATGTGAACTCCAGGGAAAACATTTCCTTTGGGAAGAGGTAAAGGCTGAGTCAGTTCTATGTACAGTGGTATTTTGGAGGGCACCTTAGCATATGGAAACAGCTTTGGATTTCCTGAGACTGCTACTACCATCATATAGTCAGAATCCATATTGCCTTTGATTTAAGGAAGAGTTATCCAGCAGGTCTGTAAAGTCCAGGCTAGCAAAGTCTGCAAAAACTTAAAACAATGAAGCTGACTAAATGTGTCTTTGACTGAATAACATCTTTACATGTGGTAGGAATAACCTGTGACTTTTATTGAGATTAGGATTGTATCTCAAACCTATTACAGTTACACACATGCTAGAAGGAAAACACTTTATGTATGTTTTACCTCTGGAAATCCAAGATTTGTATCTTAACATGCATGCTAATGAGCAATCAGTACAGCAACTTCCCCTTTTCCTGCAGAATTCTGGGTATTGGGTGTTACATGAAACATTTGATGCAATTTGAAGCAAAATTAACTGGCTTTGCTGGAGTAACAGTCATTAGCACAGAATTATCTTACATTCAGGACTAACTTGAGGTGCTTGGGAACTCCAGATCACCCATTACCAGAAGAACTGGTGAGGTAGGGGTGGCAGGATAATAACATTTGATTCAACAACATGTGCCAAGTTTAGCATGGATATGGGATGGTACAGCTAGCAATGGGTGGCAAAGATGAGACTGGCAGTCCAGGACAGGGGCAAGAGTTCAACTAGCAAGAGGGCTCTCTCTTTTCCTTGTAGTTTTCTGTGTGAAACAGGTGTGTCAACCCTCTTTTGTATCTCTGGATGAGTGAAGAGTTTGCTTCCAGAAGATAGATGTCTGCATTCAAAGTTTTCTTAAAGCATTTCAGCTCTAAATTCTTCCTCACAGCTTCATGGAGATCATTCCAACCATTAAACTCTAGTGTTGCCTCTGGACAGGCATTCTTCATGCCAGCTGTTGGACATAGGCCCTGGCAACTAAGAATGTCAGTCAACCTAAACT